AGGGCCCTGGTGCAGGTGACCTGCTTTAGGTAGCAGTGGGTTAGAGATACTAGACCCAACATATCTGAGGCCTATGAGTAGTGTGAAGGATTGGGGTAGGAACTTCTAGAGGGCAGGCTCCTAGGGTGGAACTCTGGAGATGGGGTTGTCCTGGAATGGGTTTAGCTAGGTCTGTAGCTACTGTGCAGATGCAAACAGGGGAGGGGGAAAAAACTTGGTGGCAACAGGATTCTGTGAAAATCCTGTCCTCAGAATTCTTCCAAAATGACCCTCAGTCCCCAGTTCTTTGCCCACACCCCTCCCATGGGACACATGGTATAACAGGCCTCAGCCCGTCCATAGGTGAATAGAGCCTCAATCCCTAAGGGACAAGGGGCAGAAAAGTGTTTCCATCACAGCTGCATTTGCAAATGAACTAAAGGAGCATACTCTAGAAGCCTCTCAAGACATGAGATTCCTTATACCACATTCATGTTCACTTTCTCTAACTGAACCCTAAACACATTTTAATCATTGTTCTTATTAATGTTTTATTATAGTAAGAACACAACATGAGATCTTTCAATAAAATTTTTGAAAATATATTTTTATTGATTTTAGAGTGGAGAGAGATAGAAACATTAGTGATGAGAGAGAATCATTGATCGGCTGCCTCCTGCACACCCCCTACTGGGGATTGAGCCCACAACTTGGGCATGTGCTCTGACCATGAATCACACTGGCTCATAGGTTGACGCTCGACCACTGAGAAACACTAACCAGAATCAATAAAATTTTAATTGCACAAGACAATAATGTTAATAGTAGGCAAAATGTTATACCGTGGATTTCTGGAACTTATTTATCTTTGATAAATCAACATCTGTATCCCTGAATAGCAACTCCCATTTCCACTCTCCTTTGCCTCTGGCAATGTTAATCATTCCTCTAATCTTTGTTCCTGTGGGTGTGACTGTATTGTGAGAATTATGAAGCTGGATTTATATAGGGTTATATATTAAAAGTACTTACTATGACACCTAAGTTTACAATCTATAAACTTAATAGTCATATTATGAAATTTGAGGAAAATATGATTAAATTAATACAAATGACTCCCAACTTTGATACAGTTTAACAATTATTATTAAAAAAATAGAAAACAAATTCCTGAAACATAGCAGATTCACTATAATAAAACCTTAGAGCAAGCCCTACTAGGTGGACCTATTAATAATAGCAGATTTTGGAATCAAAGAAAACGCGAAAATTTCAAGAGAAACATCAAAAGTGCTTTATTCTAAGTAATGTCCATCACTAGCTACACATTGCCCCATCTTTCAGGTAATTTGTGGATACGTTCCAATAGAACTTTTCTTGTTCTGAGGCAAACCATTCAGAGACCCAATTTTCCACTTCTTCATATGTTCTCAAGTGCTGCTCAGAAAGTGCGTGTGCCATCTATTGGAACAAGTGGTAATCTGAAGGAGCAAAGTCTGGTGAATACAGTGGGTGGGTTAATACTTCCCAGGCAAGATCTTTTAACGTGTCTTTCACTGGTTCTGAAGTGTGTGATGTTGCGTTATCATGAAGCAAAATTACTTTGCCCTGTCTTCTGGCACATTCTGGTCATTTCCTGGTGCCCAGAGGCCCGATGGGTTTATTAGATTA